ACAACGGTGTTACTGACTTGTCAACTGCTGTGATTCACTTAACAACTGTGGCAAGAAAGGTCTAAAATAAGGCAAAACTCACTTAACAAATGTCTCACTTAGCAACAGAAATTTTGGGTTCAACTGTGGTCCTAAGTCAAGGACCACCTGTATGTGTAAAGATGTAAATTCCTGTCCTTTGACATTATGCTGTAGGGATCATTGTACTAAAACAGAAGTTCCAGATTTTTGAGGATAAAATAAGGGGAACAAATCAAATATATCACCTTAAGCTTCTAGGTGAAGTGGCATGAAACAAAGGGGATTTTGGTACTTTGCAACCTCAGATTGCACAGCGTAGTGTAGCTGCAGAGAGTGACGATTCCATATTATGCTCTTTAATATTTCTTCTCCAATGTAACACTGAACATGTTACTTATTTGGGCAATGATATGTCTGCAAGAAAACAACCGAGCTCAAAGAGCACCAAGGACTCCACAGTTCCACCCTAAGCTACAAATATTCTCTTCTATTGATCCCTCCCCAAAATACAAAGCAACAGCATTTATTTTGCAAGTTTGCTATATCGACTTGTCAATCAGGCACATTAATTTGTTTTTTTAATCAAATAAATAGCAATGGCCTTTTAGATTAGCAGCTTAAAATAAAAAGAAAAGTTAAGTTAATTTATTAAAACCATTCCTTCTTTATCTTTAGTTAGAAAAGCTGCTACTTGCATTCATGGGAAGAATGTATTTTCTATTCTATTCTGTTCACAGTCTTCATGTGTTTTATAAAAACTTAAAGATCCAAAAAGTGAGTCATGCTTAATGTATCCTAAAAGTTTAAGTAAAAGGTCTAGAAAAGAAGGACTGAAAAGCTAGCACAGGCCTTCTCCAATCTAAACATCCCCTGTAGGAGCTTAAATTTCCAGAGTTAACCAGACAACATACCCACTGAGAATTTTGGGAATCGGTTCAAATATCTGAATGATGGCTAGATTGAAGAAGGCGAAGCCAGCATGTTGCTATTTTTTGCTCACTACAAAATATCGTTCCTACTATTTTTAAATAGTTTCTGGCCAGGACAATAATTTATTTATTGCTTCTTGAAAATTACAAATCCTCATACTTCTGCCAGATGAAAGCAATTATACGTATCCTAGCATAATGTTGTAGGACCCAATCTGGGTTGGTCACCGGGACCAGAGTTTAACCTTCCGAGGTTTTGGACTCATGCTGGAGCCCATTTTCAGGGACTTCTCTCTAGTCTGGCTGACTGAAATAGGCAATGAGAGATTAAACAGGACAAAGGAAGAGATATAAGGTAGGATCCCATCTGGGTCGGTCACCCAGAGGTTTTGTCATACCTCTTCCTTTGTCCTGCCTAATCTTTCATTGCCTGCTTACGGATATATTTCAGTCATGTTGTTTTCTGCTCTCTAGTATCAATAAGGCAACTGTGATTAACCTTCACTCCAAATTCTTTTTTTATTTTTCTTAATGAGAATAACTATATGAAGGAGAAAAGGTTAACTAAAAGCAGTGAATTTTAGTGCAATGAGGTCACTAAATCCTTTGGCATTAGTGCCTGACACCTCAAGAGTGATTATGGGGTCATACAGATACAGTTCTTCAACACTAGCTTAGACATGAGAAGGATAAAGGTCTTACCGTCACATCAGCATTTTAATTATTTTCAACAGTTTTAGATTTGAAAAAGAGTGGAAGGATGAATCAGCATTTATGAGTGTACTATGACATCAGTGCAATAGATTTGGCTGATTCTATTATAAATCTTTATTCTGGGATCTTTGTGCAAGTCCTAGCAACATTTTTCTATAAATGAGCTTATTTCTAGTGTTCATATAAATCTCAGTTAAAATTAACATTTTAACCAATTTTGATTTATGTGTGTTTTTAGAATCTTGAACTTTCATGGTAGTGTAATGTAATTAATTCTCTAGGGAAAATCTGGAAGGTTTCATTGCCTTTCCATATAAGTCAAGTAACACTTATTTTCTGCTCTCATTATGGTTCTTTACATTTGTTGCTTTGTATTTCATTTTATATAATGTATATGCTAATAAATAAATATGGGAAACAGGAAAATATTATTTGGGTGGAATATTGGTTTCTGTATATAAACCCTAGAAGATTCTGTTGTATTTTAATCATCTGTTTCCACAGATCCTAATCTAGCTATTCTCATTCATTATCTGTACAACTTGTGCATCTATATAGCAAAAAAAAAATGTTCATGGCTAACTCTTCTTTCTTACTTCCATCACATGTTCCATCCACACTACCCAAGTCAGTCTTAAGGAGCAATATTCTATGCACAGATGCCTTCTTATGTACACTCCACATTGGGATTGTAGTTTGGGATTGTAGTTCCCATTGTCTTTTGTCATGCTGGCAGGTATTAATACAGTTGGTTCAAAATATCTGACAGGGATTGAGTTGTCAATGTTTGCTCTAACCATGATTAAGATGATTAATAAAACTACATATACAAAATGCAGACCCCTTCAGATGGGATCAATCTTGCATACATAGTTGATGCATATATGCAAGATGCATATATATTTATTTCTTTTCTATCAGAGGCCTAGTTTACTAAAGTTTACTCCTCAATTATTTTTATTGGGTATTTTTGTGGATTTAAATGACAAAGAAACTATTTTGATGTTGAATTTACTAACCGCAGCAAGGTTACTAGTAGGTTCATATTGGAAGAAAGATTCGTTGCCTACTTTAGAAGAATGGATATCTAAAGTTTCTACTTTTGCAGAAATGGCAAAAATTTCTGCTTATTTAAAGGATCATACACAAGAAAGATATATCATTGTATGGAGAAGATGGATAGACTATATTCAGAAAAAGTATGGAACTATGAAGTATCATTTATTTTATGAGTAAATTTTATAGTAAATGTTGTATAAGAGATTTGTTTATGACGATGTAATTTAAATGGGAGTTAAGGGCTAAGTATGATTTTTCTTTTTCCTTTTTTTTCTTTTCTTTTTTTTTCTTCTTTTTCTATTGTATAACTTTGTTATTAATAACCCTGTACTCTGCTCTGGGAAGTGAGGGGGGGTTGAGGGTGGGTGGGTGGGTAAGTAGGTAGAATAGGATTATATAGTTATGGTAATTTATGAGAGAGGTGCTGCTTGGGCACTTCCCCTATGCTGTATTCCTGTGTTTGAGAGGGATGAGAGGGGAGGAAGGTGCAGGGAGGAAGTAGGATGGTAAGAGGAGAAGGGGAGGGGAAGAGAGTAGGAGGGGAGGAGAGAAAGAGGAAGGAAGTAGGGAAGGTATCAAAGAGGGTGGATGCAGCCTGGGGGAAATGAGCAAGCGGCACCAATGGTTATGATGATTTTATCTTATTTTGTAAATTGAATTTTGTATGCTGAATAAATGGAAAATAAAAACTTTTAATAAAAAAAAATGCAGACCCCTTCAGATGGGATCAATCTTGCATATATACTTGATGCATATATGCAAGATGCATATATATTTATTTCTTTTCTATCAGAGGCTTAGGAGTTTGAGGGTTCTGTACAGGTGCTTAGCTATTCCTAGCACTGCACTCTTCTGGACAGAGAGCTCAAGTTCTACCACCACTGGGACCAGTTTGGACTTTACTTTCTACATATTCTCTTGTTTTTTCTTCAGGCCCTTGTATTTTTCTGGCTTCTCATAGTCCTTCTTCCTTATGTTGTTGTCACTTTGCACTGCTACATCTATCACTATTGCTGCCTTCTGATCCTTGTTCACTACCACAATGTCTAGTTGATCAGCCAGTACATACCTGTTTGTCTGGATCTGGATCTGTCTGGATCAGGTTCTTAGCTCACCTATTCTCCATGATCTTCAGTAGACTTTCCCATCTGGGCTTGGGAGGACCTAGCCCATATAGTGTGCAGATGTTCCTGTATACATTGCCAGCTACTGTGCCATTCAGTATATGTTGTTCCTGTCTGCATCTTATATCCTGCCACAATGTGTTGAATTGTCTCTGAGAACTATCTGTGTGGTCTGGATCTCAGGTCCTATCTGATGTGGTAGACTTCTGTTTCTATGGATCTGAGGTTTAATGCCAATTCTTAGGTTGCTATGATCTGTGCCCTAGTGTGTCTTTTAATCCAGCCCCCTCCCCAGCCACTGGTAGGATTTCCCAATGTCTGTCATCTCAGTATTTGTTGATGGTACATCTGTAGTCTTTTTCTTGTCATGGCATTTTGTCTGCTTGATCTTTCTCCCACATCTTCTGTTGCCTCAGGCATTCCCTCATCAGCTCATCTTTGGGTACCATCTTACTCCTGGATGTTCTGGGTTTCATGCAGGACAGTGGCTTTTGCACTCATGAGACTCTTTCTGGCTGTTGTACAGTCTCAGGGTATGGCTTGGGGTGGAAACCTCTGTACATTGTAAGGAGCTTCTGAATCTTCACATCGTCACCTTCCATGTCCTGCTTTGGCCAGCTCATTATATCTTCAGGATATATGATGACTTGGCAGAGTATTCATGTTGATGTATGGATCTTGTTCTTCCCATTAATATGACTCTTCAGGACTTGTCTTATCCATCTTATCCTTTGGTGGTTCCTATGTAACTGTGTGTCTGCTATGTGGTCCACTGGGTGGTTGGTTGGTTAGCTGGTTAGTTAGTTGTTTGGTTGGCTGGTGGATGGATGATGGAGGATGGATGGAGGGAGGGAGGGAGGGAGGGAGGGAGAAAGAGAGAGAGAAAGCGAAAGAGATGAAAGAGTATACGATAAAAAGTATAATATGCTGTGTGTGGGCGTATTTGACCCAAAAACACAAAACTGCTGAGACTGGCTGTGTAGAAAATCCTCTTCTGCTAATTTCCTCATTTCTCAGCACCTCACATGGGTAGCATTCTTAAACTGTTCTAAAATGTAGTATGGAATATATCCCTTCTAGGTTCACAGTACTTTATGATGCTGTTTAAGCAGGTTATCCATCGTTGATGCTGTAACTATGTATCTTCTTGCAGTATATCATTCTGAGCAAGTCAGAATCAGTTCTCATCTGCACTTTTTTTATTACAGCAGGCTGTCCAGACTCCTTGATTAAAGAGCTGCATCACTTCAGAATTCTTGGAGAGGAGCAGGTGAGTGAACCTCTGAAAGATACTGACTCTGAATGATGGTATCATGGTGCCCTGAACATAGACAGTAATGAGACAGTTTCTTCTCTCTCCAGGGAAGCATGGTATCTCATGTCTTTCCCAGGGCTCTAATATTGGGGGAGCAGAAACTCCCATATGTGACTTATCTCTCACTCCCTTTCTTTCAATTGATTTATCATTATTCTGGGTAACTATATTGGTACTTTATTAATTAATATATATGCACGACCTGCCACAGCTTTTCAACTCAGGATCCCTGTAGAAAACAGGCAGTAAATTTACAAATGGACAAATAAGATGATAGAGACTGCCTGAGTTAGATGTATGGTGTTTCATCCTTTCTTTTTATTCATTTGATTAAGATCTTTAAATACTACCTATCATATCGTTACAGAGTTTCAGTTCGGGACACAATAAACACTGATTTAATTATTCTTTTGTATAACATACCCACCTTTTACTTTTTTGAATATGAAGCCAAACGGACTAGGAGTTGATGGACTCACTTAGTATGATTTGCATTTCTATTATTTAATTTGCAATTTCCTGACCTCAGATAATTTGGATTGCAGCTGTATGTCAAAATCCACACTTTTAAAAAGTTTGCCATGCATTTCCATCTTTAAACAACTATACAAAAATGGGAAATGAGGAGTATTGGGCATATCAAACTTATTATGCTAGGGGAATATTTTTGAAAAATGCATCAAAATCCACACTTTTAAAAAGTTTGCCATGCATTTCCATCTTTAAACAACTATACAAAAATGGGAAATGAGGAGTATTGGGCATATCAAACTTATTATGCTAGGGGAATATTTTTGAAAAATGCATCTATTAAGAATTGTAACAAAAATATTGATATTAATAGGAAAATTCCCGGAACAATTTTTTTTGATGCTAATACATCTCTTGGTTATTTAGAAGGACCTGAAATAGAACATTGCAATCATTGGCATGCAATTAACTCAGTTTCAAAATATTTTGAAATAATTTAGGACTATATACCCTTTATTTGCCAGGTATGGCATTTCACGAATATCAATCCTGTTCTTTTTCTTTAGTTGACTTAATGAATTTTTAAGTCCTTTTCATGATTAGCAAAGACAGTTTCTATTCCCAAAATTTTTTGTAGAAGTACTTTTAACTATTTAACTATAGGCCATATAAATTAAAACACTGTAGAACAGTTGCTCATGTGCCTTGTTAGTAAAATTATCTTATAAATGATTTTGAAATAAATTTTTGATAGCCCTAATTTCCTCCACTTGTGTGGATTGAGGAATACACTATCTATTTTAGAGAACAGTCCTAAGGATGAGGGAATTAGGGTCAGGACTTACGTCTCTAGCTATTCCAGCTTGATTCATCCAAGGCGCAGCCAACATTCACCTAATATTTTACTTTTTAGAAAAATAGTAGCTAAAGAAAAGTACAGGTAGTCTTCAACTTATAAACATTTGTTTAGTGACCATTCAAAGTTACAGTGCTCTTATGACTGTTACAACTGTCGCAGCATCCCAAAGCTCATGTGATCAAAATTCGAATGTTTGGCAACTGGCATGTATTTATAATGGTTGCAGTGTCATAATGATCCCCTTTTGTGACCTTCTGACAAGCAAAGTCAATGGGGAAGCAAGATGCACTTAATAACCACTTATTAGCTTATTAATCAACTGCAGTGATTCACTTAATAACCACAGCAAGAAAGGTTGTAAAATGGGGCAAATGTCACTTAACAACTGTCTTGCTTAGCAGTGGAAATCTGGAGTTTAATTTTGATCATAAGTAGAGGACTATCTGTATTTCTAACATTAAAACAGGGAAATTTTGCCAGTTGTGGAATTTAGTGCAACTTTACAGCACCAAAACTGTGATTTATTCTTCATGTGTGCTAATTCTTTTCTTCAGATAAGTGATTTCTCATTATTAACTGAGCCATTAATAAATAAGAATTTATGAAATATAGGGAGAAGTATGACAGCATATTAGGAAGTACTGTATATCCATATCTTATTTTCTGTGTGATTATTAATCCTATTATGGATTCATACATTGGGTAGGGAGCTGAAATTGATGATTCCTATTTCCTTTCCAAATGTTATTTTCTGTGCTTCCAGCAGATCATAACTTGAGGGTTTGGGAATTTGTTTGTCAGGGTGGGGGTGCTTTATTTAGAGACTGTACAGCAGACAATGAACAAAAGCTACCCCCATGCATTATTTATTTATATAATCTGTATAGCTGCCCCTCTTAGAAACAAGTGGCTCTCAGTGACATGCAACAAAACTAAAACATTTTTTTCTTTTTACGACCCTGCAATCCCTTATAATCAGGGTGGAGTCTGGGCAACTGAACGGAGCTGTGTGTTTGCTGGCCAGATGCCCTTCCTGATGCCTACATGGAGTTCTCAGCAGATATTTTCTCTTTGCGCCCTGATAGAGAAACATAGGTTGCTGCCTAAGATTGAACTCCCAAGCTCCTGAGTGTGAAGCAAGTGTCTTCACTTCTAGGCCACTAAGCTACTCAAAACTAGAACAGTAAATAATGTAATGATAATTTACATTATTTTTTAAAATTAAAAACTTTAAGAATAAAGTTAAAATAAAGAATAATAGATGAAGCGATGTTAATAATAATGGAGCCATCTCACTAGTTCACTTTCTCCTGGAATCCCCAGGTTTCCTGGCATAACCAGGCCTTGCAGGACCTTTGGTGGCTTGGGAGAGATGAGGGCATCCTCACCTTTGGGGGAGAAAATTCCACAACTTAGGGGGTCATAGCTGAAAAGGCCTACAACCTAGGGGTTGCCGGATTTAATTCCCTAGAAAATAGAATCTGTAATATGCACATTCTGTTGGATCTAGTGGGACAAGAAGATATCTGACAATCCCTCAGATAGCCTGTTCCCATGCCATATAGGGTTTTAAAATCAACACCAGCACCTTGAATCTGACCTGAAAAGAAACTAGTAACCAATGTAGTTCACACAGCAGAGATGTGTTCCATTGCTTCTACCAGAAATACAATAACTGTTCACACTGCTACATCTTGGCACCAGCTGAAGTTTCCAGATACACTTCAAGGACATCCCCCGTGTAGAGTGTGTTACAATAATCGAACTGGGAAATAACTAGGGATGAGTGACCGTGAGTAGGGCCCCTAGAATAGCTTAATTCCACTATTAGGATCTCACATTTCATCCAGGGAAGTTGTCATTATCTGCCACAAAGGAGAAGCATTATATAGCATTGGAAAAGAAGCCTCCCTGAATTTTTACAACTCTTTTACAAGTCATTTCTTATGTTGCAGGGAAATAAATCCCATGTTAGTTATATTTTTCTCACAGAACTGAGTTTAGTAGAGATTCCAGGAAGACAGGTGTTGCCCCAGCACATCCTTTGAAGAAACTCAAAACATAACTCCTCTGGCAGGTCCACACAGTACTATGTAGATATATATTGAGTTATTGAGCTTGAAGAAGAAACAGGGTTCATTTCTTAAAGAAACATTTAAGTTCCTTCAGGATAGATTTTTTGCAATCTAGAGTTTTTCAGAAATAATGTCTTCAATATGTGTGGGTGCTCCTAAGCTGGGTAGGTATTTCAGTGCAAGGAATCTGATTAAAAGCATGTGTTCTATAGGTACACCAGTAGCATATTTTGCAACTGAATGGCTTTTTGTTAAAATGTAGGACTTGACTGAATTATATGAAGTGAATGGAGAGAGAGATGAAATTAAAAGATACATTTGAAAATACTGATCTAAAATACAAAAGACAACTTGGTGACTGAATAATGAATTAGGTGAATGTATATAACGTAATTTTGTTTCTTATGTTCATCTACTCCTTGTTTTGTCTTTGGAAAAGTATAGTATAATGGTTTGGTATGGTTCCTATGTAAACATAATCTTCAAGGTGAAAACAGATTTTATTTCCCAAATTGAATCCAGTGAATCAAATTTATTTAGTTGTTTGTTTATTTGTTTTTCAAATGCATATAGCAACTCTTACCAGGATAAGATAATCCCAAAAAGCAAGCCCTAATTAACTTTAGATTTATGATTTATGATCAATCATTAAAAGGCAGTGGCAACCAAGACCAATACTTTAATAAATGAGAAAGATATTAGATTGTACAACCCAAATGTATAGAATTCTTTATTCCCCTGGGTGTGGTACTACTTCCATTGGTACAAATCAGTGCATCACAACACATAATTGCTAATGAGATCTTTTTCTACACTGAAAGTAAGTGATAATTTGTCTAACTGATATATAACTGTTAATGTATTATTCTTATTTTTGATTCAAGATATTGTGCCTGGATGAAAGCTTCAGAATGTGCAATATTTAAATTTCGCATCTGTAGTTTGTTTTCCAATGTTTTTTTGGTTTTTGTATTTGTCATATTCTCCAAACCTAGATGGTTCCAGTGGATAGAGAGAACATTATAGACTTTTTACAAATAGAGGTTAACTGTTGTTTGCTAGAACTGGGGGGGGGGGAAAGACAAGGAGAATATGTCAATTCCAATAGAACTATATCTACATGGAGGGAAGTAAGCAATGGGATACCCAAAGGTTCTGTTTTAGGCCCAGTACTCTTCATAAATGATTTAGGTAAGGGAATAGAAGGGAAACTCATTAAAGTTGCAGACAACTCTAAACTGGCAGGAATAACCAACACCCCAGAATACAGACTTGAACATTGGGCCCTATCTAACAAAATAAATTTCAATGTAGAGAAAATACCAAAGATGCTTTTTCATGAGGCAACGGGACTTTCTTGTTTTTCTTTGAAGAATTTCGCTTTTCATCCAAGAAGCTTCTTCAGCAAATGTAGAGAAAAGTAAGGATTTACACTTAGACAAGAAAAACCAAATGTATAGGTACAGATTAGGTGAAACCTGGCTCAGTCGCAGTAATTGTGAGAGGGATCTTGGAGTCCTAGTGAACAATCACTTAAATATAAGTCAGCAGTGTGCAGCAGGAGCCAAAAAAGCCAATTCAATCCTTGGCTGCATTAAAAGAGGGATTGAATCAAGATCACATGAAATATTAGTACTGCTTTTTAAAGCCTTAGTAAAACCACACTTAGAATACTGCATCCGGTTTTGGTCACCATGTTATAAAAACGATGTTGAGAATCTGGAAAGAGTACAGAAAAGAACAACAGATGATTAGGGTGCTGGAGGCTTAAACATATAAAGAATGGTTGCTGGAATTGGGTAAGTCTAGTCTAATGAAAAGAAGGACTCAGGGTGACATGACAGCAGTGTTCCAATATCTAAGGGGCTGCCACAAAGAAGAGGGGGGTCAATCTATTTTCCAAAGCACTATAAGGCAAAATGAGAAACAACTAGAGAGAAATTTCCTTAACAGCGAGAAAAAATAATCAGTGAAACAGCTTGCCTTCAGAAGGTGTGGGTGCTCCATCGCTGGAGGCTTTTAAGAAGAGACTGGACAGCTTCTTGTCTAGAATGGTATAGATTGGAGTAGAAGACCTGCAAGGTTCCTTCCAACTCTTTATTCTGTTCTGTAAAACTCCTGGCACCTTACTATGAAATAACATTTTCGGTATTGTTCAGATTAATTGAATTCGTTAGTGAAAGATGTTACATTTCTAAGGTTTATTCATTAGAATCTGGGTTTTTTTTTTCCCTTTCAGTACAATCGCTATCAATCCTATGGCGCAGAAGAATACGTTCTGCAGATGGGTGGTGTTTTGTGTCCCACTCCAGGATGTGGAGCTGGCCTGCTTCCTGAATCAGAAATGAGGAAAATAGTGTGTGAGCCAAGAAATGGACTGGGTTGTGGGGTAAGAAAAATGCATCTTCCAGATAATTCTTCATGAATCAGTTGAAATTTGGTGTGTGTGGGGGGGGGAATTCTGACGTTCTTATTGCTGACTCTGAATTTTAACAGAGGAGAATCCTATAGATCCCAATAAACAAATTTAACTTAAGATTGCAGTGCAGAAATGACCACTTTGTCATGGAGAATATACCTGTCCCAGAATGCCTGGCTTGAATTGGTTTGCAAAATTGCTGATCTAAGTGGTTGCAGTGAAGAGTTGGATTGTGCAAATGACAAGGCAAGAGCATTCACACTTTTTAAAACTCCTAGCAGTCAGCAAAATGTTAAGTTAAAGGATCCAAAGCCAAAGATTTGTTATTTTGTTAGCAGCACTCTCTTTAAATAGGTTCAAAGGGAGGGAGGGCAGAGGCAGGGATAGAAAAAGTGTCACGTAAGTAAAATGGTTTGTATGTTTTGAGTAAATCAATGAAGATTAATGCAGGTTAAACGACTGTGCTGAATGAACACTCTTTTTAAGTAACCAGGGTCAAAAAAGAACTGGAATGAAATGGCCACACAAAGAGATTGAATCTGCTTATTTTTGTTCTGTCACTAACAGTATTGTCAGATAACAATATCCTTCGTGGAAAGAATTAAGAAAATTTAGGATACACAGGTGGCATTTTTAAATCTGCCTCTGGGCCTTGAAAATGATGTTTCATTAAAGCCATAGTGCTCATAATGCATTTAGAAAAATATAACAGCACAGTTCTTCAAAAATACAGGCAAAGTACACTTCAGAAGTGTTGAAAGGAAGAATTTTGTAAGATCGAATAAAACGCAACATCAAAATTTATTGTTCCAAGGAAAATCAACACAACACCAAACATCCTTTCCTTCCTTCCTTCCTTCCTTCCTTCCTTCCTTCCTTCCTTCCTTCCTTCCTTCCTTCCTTCCTTCCTTCCTTCCTTCCTCCCTCCCTCTTTCTTTCTTTCTTTCCTTCCTTCCTTCCTTCCTTCCTTCCTTCCTTCCTTCCTTTCTTTCTATCTATCTCACCTTTATTATTTTTTTATAAATAACTTAAAAGTGGTGAACATACCTAATACTCCTTCCTTCTCCTATTTTCCCCACAACAACAATTTTGTGAGGTGGTTTGGGCTAAGAGAGAGAGTGACTGGCCTGGAGACACCAAGCTGACTTTCATGGCTGAGATGGGATTTGAACTCACGGTCTCTTGCTTTCTAGCCTGGTGCCTTAACAAATCAGTTTTATATGGTAAATGATTAGGAATATGTTCCTAAAACAGTTTGAAAGGCATGGATTGTATCTCACCCAGATCATTTCCTAGAAGTCCTGAGAGCTTTCTCCCTTTAATTCAGTTTTTTAGCTGCTAGCAATATAAACAGCTTTTGTATGAGCATCAGTTCTTATCAGTTCTTCATTTCTATCCTCTTTCTGAAACTGAAAGAAATAAATATTAATATATTTGGAATAATATGCATTACCAAAATATATTACAATTATGCTGCAATATTTTTCTTGTCAAAGGCCAAACTACATATATTGGATCAATTTCCCTGGTGATAGATTAAATGACTGGTTTAATATTAAATATTTAGGATATTTTATCCCTTTCATCAAAAAAAAGGATGAAAGGAAATTATGTATCCTTTTGTTACCATAACAGACTTCTGAATCTGTTAGTACTGTTAATGTGAACAATAATTATTGGTTATACTAATAAATTGCAATAATCTTCTAGAAGTTAGGCAGGATTGACACAGCAGTAGAGCATGTAAAATAGTGTTCCCCAAAGCTGAGACAAGCTGTAATTATAACATAACATTATAGATGGTTTGTATGAGAAAATATTCTTGTGTATACATGTAAGACTCATTTAGTTATCAAATTTATATAGCCACCCATCTCACTCAAGGTGACTCTGGACGATGTACAACAATAGATAAAAAGCAAGAATATAAAAATAGCAAACACAAAAGGCCATAATAATAGATATCTCAACAAACTGGATGTATTTACTTACTTTATTCATTTAATCCACATTTAAAGGCCACCCAACTCTGTAGCAACTCTGGACAGCCTGCAAATAAAAAAGAAAAATGTGTAGAGATACAAATCACGAAGGTTGTGGCCAACCAGAATAACAGGACACCTTCAGCCACTCAACAGACATAGCAATATCAGCTATCCTTCCACAATGCTATCCCAAGGCTTAGGAGAATGTCCAGATTTTTAATGGCTGTACAAATCTCTAGTGGGACATCATTTTAAAGCAGGGTACCCAACCCCGGTCCGTGGACCAGCACCAGTCCGCAGCATGCCAGCAAGCGGGCTGCACAAACAAGCAAAGCTCCATCCTCCAGATGCCAGCAGTATTGAAAGCCATATCCTTTCTGGTCTGTGGAAAAACCTTTCTCCATAGCACTGGTCCCTGGTGCCCAAAAGGTTGGACACCACTGTTTTGAAGGACAGGTGCTACAACAGAGAAAGTATGCTTCCTGGGTGGGACATCATTCTACTTGTTCTTCTCCTGTAGCAATGGCTGCTTACGTAATGTTTATGTTAAAACAGAAGCAATTCTGTGTATAACTTATGTATGTAAAAAAAAAATCACCGCTACGAAAGTGACTACTGCATATTCAAGACAAATCAAAATATTATATGTAGAAGTCTTGTTCGGAGATAAAGGTGTTTCCACAGTTTAATATATTATAAGGAACCCTTTCATCTTTAAATAATGCTCCCTTTGATTTTTCTGCAGCACTATATATATATATTTAGAGGGATAAAGATTGGTGCTCCTCTCCAATGTTTATTTTGACACAGTTTTGTATGAGCAAGAATATTTTACTATTCTGAATGTTCCATTAAGCTGTTAAAGATCTGACTTTGCTGTTATAGAATCTATTTTTACATTGTTTTATGCATAAAAATATTAATTTGATTTCCCAAAGTCCATTGCACACAGTTGTTCCATCTTCATTGCTATTCATAAGGCCAATCTCTTGCTTTCATCACTAGGCAGAAAAGACTGACATGTTTAACCAGCAAGAAAATATGCCTCTGTTATCGCTTGGTACCAACTAGCATGACTACTAGAAAAAAAAAAACTGGATAGTCAAGGCACATAAGGATTCGATAAATAAAGCTTTTTTTTGTCTTGTCTTGAAAGTGGCTACATATTGCTTATATATTTATTATTCAAAATTGAAGTCCCTTGGATTCTGATAAGCTTGGGACTAGTGCCAAGAAACAGCATGCTGTGTGACTACTCTAATGGATGTTTATCAAGTACTGATACATTTCACACTTTTGTCTCTATTCCCGGTACTAATTTTTATTTGGGTATTCAAAAGAAAGCGAACTAAGTAAATAGTTAAATAAGATTCTTAATTCCTTCAGGAATCCCCTCAACCCCGACTATACTATAAAACAAAATCCAAACATATTTAGATTGCATGTATCAAGTGTCAGAGACATTATTCTGCATTATTTCTAGCAGCAGTGACCAGAGAGGCGGTTGAAGCTCTTCATCCATTTTTCAGTCTTGCTTTAACTCCGTTTATTTATTTGCTGAATCCAAGCAATTTGCAACAATATCCATCCTACTTATTTGTGGAACTGCCTACCCAATATCTAAGCTGCAATCTTAATGAGTTGGCTATTTGCCATTTTAAAATGACAGAAGTGAGAACCATTCTCCCATCATCCCAGGGTTCCTTTTTTATTTGTATGTCCCTGGATCCTATTTAGCTATCTAAGACTGCTATGATTACTTTGATTCTGAGGGTTGTTTTTTTTAAACACAGATTTTCCTGCATGGTGACTCTGTTTTTATTAGTATTACAGTTGGTTACACAGTCAGCCAGATGTTTAGACTGTATATAGCATTTTTATCCACCTATTGAGTCTTTCCCATGGATTTGGAGTAGGCAGATATTATTGTTTGATGGTGTGGTGATGCAGGATGTAAGCTGTTCCAAGTAAAGCCATCTTTTGCAATTGACTGATGGTAAATTTGCCACTGCCGATGGTATTCAAGTGGTGCTCCAATTATTTTGGGATTGCACCCAAGGTGCCTATTACTGTTGATATTCTCTTTACTTTGTTTTGCCATGGTTGTTCTACTTCTATTTTCAGGTTTTGAATTTTGTGATTTTCTCTGTTTTTTTTTTTTCTTCTTCTATTCTGCTATCCTAAGGTACTGCTATTCATTATTTTTTATTGGCAGTTGTTAAGTCTGGGATGCTATGTGGCAAGTATTTGTCTGCTTGAATTCTAAAGCCCCATAGCACTTAGCTTCTTCATTTTCAATTATGTTCTCTACTTTATGGCCCCACCAGTTCTTGCTTGCAAGCAAATGGTACTTCTTGCAGATATCCCATTACATCATGGCTGCTACTTTGTCATGCCGTTGTTTGTAGTCAGTTGATTAGAGCCCTTTAGTTTTATTTGATTTTTCACTCATGAACTCAGCTGATCTTAATATGGCACCATAATAGACTAGCAGTTTGACCAAGCTGAAGAGAGTTCATGACAAAGACTGCTAAATAATATATTTTATTTCCTTTTCAGTATATGTAAGTAACAATGCAGATGTTTGTTTCCTGTGAGATTTTTTTACTATGAATTTCTATCTTTCCCATATATCTCATAGACTATAGAGATGAGACACAGCTGATAACTGACAGTTTAACAGAGAGCAGTACTGTTTCTTTGTTAGTTTCAAAATAGTTAAGTATTTCCCATCACTGCATTGTCTTGCATGTTCATAAAAAACTAAAGCTGCTTTCAAGTCAAGTTCAGTTCTTGATTATTATATGGATGCAACCATGCCTTTTTCTTGGGAATAATATGGAAGTAGTTTGCTACTGTCTTCTTTTCACTGTTTTTTTTCAGTTTAGTGAATGTGAGAGAGAGAGAGGGGAGGGGGAGAAAGTGCATTATTTCAATTTTTAACCTAATGCTAGACAGTGTAGTGTTGTACTGTAGTTAATGTTA